TCAAATTTCTCAAGAAAACATCAGTTAAAGAAAGGGGAAGAAAACCTTCAGCACTTTCAGAGGGACTATGTCGTCAATTTTCACTAGCTGAGCTCAAAGCTGCCACCAAGAATTTTCACCATGATTCAAAAATCGGTGAAGATGGTTTTGACCCAGTGTACAAGGGCCTCATTGATGGCGGCTCCTTGGTTGTCGCTGTCAAACGTTTGTATAGACCATTCAGACCAGCAGTTGAACGGTTCCAAAATGAGGTATAGTTACTCTGCCAGCTGCGCCACCAGAATCTTGTCTCTCTCCTCGGGTTTTGTCACGAGAAGGATGAGAGGATCCTTGTGTATGAACATATGACCAATAGGGGATTGAATGATCATCTTTTTGGGAACGCTGATCCACTCCCATGGAAGCGAAGACTAGAGATATGTATTGGGGCAGCGCGTGGATTACACTACCTCCACACGGGCAAAGTATGAAATAATTCACCACGATCCCAATTGTTCTAATATTCTTCTGGACGAAAATTGGGAGGCTAAGCTTTCAGATTTTGCGTTGTCCAAGATTGGTTCCCTTAGCATTTCAAAGCCTAAGCCCAACGCCTTGACAAGAAAGGAGTCAAATGTCGTCGGTACATATGGCTATATCCCTCCAGAGTATATGATGTGTCATGAAATCAGTGAAAAAGTTGATGTGTACTCACTAAGTGTTGTTTTGTTGGAAGTATTATGCGGTAGAAGGGTAATTGATCGCATAGCAGCAGAAGGGGATTTGATTTCTGGGATCATTAAAATGCATAAAAAACGGCTGTGTTAATGATATGATTGATCCATTTCTGAAAGAGAAGATAGCACCGGTGTGTTTGATAGAGTTCATGGAGATCGCTCTCAGTTGTATTCATCCAGATCCAAACGAACGGCCTTCGATGGGAGAAGTTGAGGTAACCTTAGAACTTGCATTGAAGTTGCAGGAGAAAGCCGACTTGGTTATCAAGGCTGACAATCCACATGCTGGTTACGCCATCGAAGATGTATCATTTCGTGTTTCTCAAGTTTACAATGGTACGCACAAAATAAGTAAATTAACAGCAAGGCAGAGTAATTGAGGATTTGATAACACCATTTAATTTTGAATTTTGAATAGAATGTTGATTCTCCTTTGATTTGATTTAATTGCATCAATCTCTTCATTAATAAAAATTAATATTGATGTATCATTCTGCTTTCTTGTATGGTTATTTGAAAGAAGAAATACATGTGGAGCAGCCTGATGGATTTGTTAAAGCTAGTACTGAAAACAAAGTCTATTTGCTCAAAAAGGCTTTGTATGGACTTAAGCAGGCTCCTAGAGCTTGGTACAGCAGAATAGATGAATATTTGCTGAAATTGGGTTTTGTAAAAAGTCTCACTGAAGTCACTCTTTATGTCAAAGAAGAGGGAATTGATTTATTGATTGTTACAATTTATGTGGATGATTTTCTCATCACTGGAAGCAATGAGAAGTTGATCCAGCAGTTCAAAGTTTAAATGAAGAAGGAATGTGAAATGAATGACTTAGGGAAAATGTCGTACTTTCTTGGAATGGAAATCAGTTAGACCAGTCGAGGTATTTTCATATGTCAGAAGAAATATGCTAATGAGATTCTGAATCAGTTTGCAATGGCCAATTGCAAAACAGTTAGCACACCTATGGTTCCTTGTGAGAAGCTAAGAAGTGATGATGGTGCAGCTAAAATTGATGCAGGAGTTTACCGGAGTTTAATTGGGAGATTGTTATATTTATCAGCAACTAGACCTCATATAATGCATTCAGTGAGCCTTTTGTCTAGGTTTATGCATTCTCCTAGTGAAATACACTTCAAGGCAGCCAAGAGGATTCTGAGGTATGTGAAGGGAACAACTGATTTTGGTGTTCTCTATAAATGTTCAACGAATGTGAAGCTAATTGGATTTACAGATGGTGATTGGGCTGGTTCAGAGGAAGACATGAAGAGCACCTCAGGACAGTGTTTCTCTATTGGTTCAAGGGTGATTAGCTGGAGTTCTAAGAAGCAAGACTCGATTGCCAAGTCAACAGCAGAAGCTGAGTACATTGCTGTTTCTCTTGCTGCAGATCAAGCTGTGTGGTTCAGGAAACTGATGAATGATTTAAAACAACCTCAGATGCATCCTACTGAGTTGTTTTGTGATAATTTATTTGCTGTTGCAATTGTTAAGAATCCTATTCTTCATGGTAGAACCAAGCATATCAAGATCAAATATCATTCTG